GTTGGGTCTGGGGAGGACCCCTGGAGGGTGGGGCCTCATTCACCTCTTTTTGTGTACTAAAGCTGCTGCCAGTCACTAAGGAGTTGTCAGAGGAGCTTCAGACAGGAAACGAAGTCAGAGTGAGTCTAATCCCCCAGCTGTACCTACAGCCCCTAGCCTTTACACATGACCTCACTTTACAAGGCCCAGGGCAGCAGCAATACTTTAACATCCTCAAAGACCTTTTTCAAATTTAATTTTTGTGATGCTAGGGATTGAAGTCAGGGCTTCACACAGTAGGCATTAACAGTATTCCCAGCTCCAGAAGAGACTCTTGAGGAGAAACTGAGGCCATAGAACACACGCAGAGAAATCCACTGAAGAACCACTTCTAACTATACCCAGAGATTCGGATTAAATAAACTTGACTAATTTCCTTTTCGGTAATGACACTGGAAATTGAATCCAGACCTTTCACACTAAACTACATCCCTAGCCCATATTATTTTACTTTTTAAATTTCACTGTATGTATGTACGTATTCATCATTTGTTTATTTGGTTGGTTTTTTGAGACAGGGTCTTGTTATGTAGTTTACGCTGGCCTTGAACTCACTATGTAGACCAGGCTGTCCTCAAACTTGTGGCAATTCTCCAGCCTCAGCCCCCCAAGGGCTGGGAGTATAAACGTGCACCACCACACCCAGCTTATTTTTTGAGACAAGGCCTTGCTAAATTGCCCAGGCAGATCTTGAACTTTTGATCCTCTTGCTCAGCCTCTCAAATGCTAGGATAATAAGTACGCACTGCTGTACCTGTGTATTATGACTAAATATTAACAAATGAATCTAGGGAGTGGAAATATGGGTGTTCATTGTAATAATTTTGTCAACTTTTCTGTATGTATGTAATTCTTTACGATGAAATGTTGGAAGACAAAAAGAGCCAGAAATTGAAACTGTTCTTCCTTATGTAGGGAACAACAGGGAAATAGAATACAGAAGATCACTGAGAGCAAGGCCTGGGAGGAAAAGAACGCGGAGAGAGTAAAGTAAAATCACCCAAAGGGGCCTTGGCTAAATGCACAAGACAAGAGAATTCCAGGGGGTAGGACTTTAAATGTAAGAACTCCAGCTGGATATGGTAGTGCACGCCTGTAATCCCAGCACTCGGGAGGCTGAGGCAGGAGGATTGCTGGAAATGTGAGGCCAGCCTGAGCTACATAGTGAGTTCAAGGCCAGCCTGAACTTCATAGTGATACCCTGTCTCAAAAAGACATAAATAGGGGCTGGGGATTTAGCTCAGCGGCAAAGCACCTGCCTGGCAAGCACAAGGTCATGAGTTCGGTTCC